CAGCAACAATTTGTGGTGCTCAGGAAGAAAAAGGTCACTCTCTGCTTTGAACTTAAATGTACCCTGCAAACAGAAAAATAAAATTACTAGACTTGCTAAAATATCATATTTACATAACAGCTTTATCTGACTAGATAGGCGTCATACATAACATTTTGTTTTTAAAAGTGTAATGTGTAATATTAAAGTCTTGACTCCAATTGATTTAAGCTAGTGACCCCCTATTTGAGGAGTCCTCTTATCCCTAAAGGGAATGACATGAACGCTTTTACATATAAGATGTTCACTGCCACATTGTTTTACTGTTTGCAACAGTCTCACCTTTTCAAGTTCAGCTGTATTGCCAACACACCTATTTAGTAGTAGCCGTACTAAATGGCAAGACATTGTGTGGATCACTGGGCTTTTTTTCAGAGCATTAGCAAATTATCAATTGTCTTATGATCATAAAGAAGCAAATATCATCTGTGAGCTTAAAATTTTTGGCCCTTAAAACGGTTATGGGGACCATTGCTGCTAGTAAACGAGTACACTTGAGAAAATGCACTGCTCTGTATTGTTTTAGAATACAGAGCAGATTAGAACACAAAATTATGCTTCCTGGTTTTTAGAGTTTAAGGATAACTACATAAATTATTTAAATGTTCTCATATTTGAAACTTGTGTACCTTTATTACTGTTAACTAAAAAAATGCATGATAAGATCTGTGCTATTAGAATACCTCCTAGATGGTAAGCGCGAAAGAGCAGGGCCCTCGAACCCCTCGTGTATTGTTTTGTTACTGTATTGTCTCATGTACTGTCCCCCACTATAATGTACAGCACTGAGCAAACCTTTTGGCGCTATATAAAAATACTGTAGAATAATAATACTAGGCTTGATTCAGACCTATGCTGTTTGCTTTTGGCCTGTTTCTGCAGTGCTTTTTGCAGTGTGGTTTGCGTTTCTGCACACACCTTTTTGATGCATTGTCATGCATTTTGCATTTGTTATGCTTTTTTTGGCCAATTTGTTGCTGGGCAGATTTTTTTAAAAAAAAGCAAATGCCTCAAAAACGCACTACATGCCTTTCTGCAGCGTCACCATCAAGGTCTTTTTGAAACTCAAAACGGTGCGTTTTTGGTTCAAAAGTCCGTGACCCTTTCCAAAAAGGCAGCAGCTGAAAAAAGCATAGATGTGAACGTGCCCCACAGGAAACCATGTTAGATGGACTGCAGTGCGTTACTGCAAAAGGCACCAAAAAAGCATGGGTGTGAACCAGGCCGTATGCAGTTAACTGCGTCAAAAAAGTTAAAATGTAAACTTGTATTAATAGTATGCTTCTAAAAATGGGCTGTGCAGACATCAGAAGTGTAATATTTTGCAGGATACACTAAGGCGACAACAGCAGGTGGCTGTAAAAGAAACAAAAAACAAAACTCACCCTTTCAATACAAGTTAATATTTACATTACAAAGTATAGAACTGTCCTATCTGAATATATACTGGTAGCTATCTATAGTGGCATTGCCAAAAGCTGCAGTTTCCACAATGATGCCATCAAGATCTAAAAACCAGTTTTACAAGTAGCATACTTCCACAGCTGGACATAAATTGTTTTATGGAGCCAGTGCTCAGCAAATGGGAATATTCCCAGGCATGGATAACAATTAGAATATTAGGAGCATGACACAATAAGGTTTTTAAAACGCAGAATCTAAGATGGTTTTGAATGATCTAAAGAGGCAACACAATTAGGGTTTTTGCACATGAGCACCTAAGCCTCTGTAATGTAAAATCCAGCATAGTCCCCTACCCAGAAAGCCCAGGTACTACGTACAACCACCCATACATGAATGGCTGTACTTGGGTATATGCCAGTGCTCATGTAAAACAGTTCTATTTTTTCCCATACGCCTATACATTATAGTCGTGTTTATACAAGCATAGAAGCATCAGTACAGCCACCCACAGCCATTCACGTCTATGGGAGGCTGTGCACAAAGCATCTGGGTTTTCTGAGCCTGGGAAAAATATAGAAATTTATGTTGAACAGTGTCAGGTATTTGTGTGCAAGAGGCCTGAAGACAACCAAATGAAAAATTAATTTAATTATATTTGACACATGCAATAGAGCAAAAATAGAACTTATTTTTTAAATTCATACAAGGGTTTACATATTTTGGGTAAAACTGCTTCAAGAGATATATACAGATAGACAAACAGATGTACTACCTAATGTATACACACACACACACACACACACAAACACAAACACATGCATACCTTGTATGAGGGGCCAAGCTGATAAATTGCAAAAATTTGAGCAGCATTGAGTGATTCACTAAAAAGGTATACAGCAGCCATCTGCCCACAAAACACTCTGTTAGCATCCGCTGTTTCAGATGACCCCAGGAAACACTTGTCAAATGTCTGCAGAAAGAAAAAGCATATATGAGAAAGGATGACAAATTCAAATGTACAAGGAGAGTTTGATTTTCTATCTAAACTCAAAACTACGCAAATATGCACTGCTAATTACCAAATAGTTTTTTTCTTTTTTGGTAAACTTGATTTAAATTGGTTCTGAAGTGGTGGACCTGTCCATGGTTGGTGGGATTTTGGTAAAGGATGTTTGGTTTACCTCATACCCGACGATCCTTAAAGATGCTTGGATAGCCTCATTACATTGCCCAATTCCTGACCTCTTTCGACACCAATCAAAATCAGCAACCTGTCTTTGTGGCAGGCAAACAATCAGGTTACATGAAAACTGTCCAGTGTCCTAATGGACTCTCACTCGAAATTCCTAAAATTTTGGGAACCCTGGATTAATTATGCTCTTCCATCACTTCTTGCCTTTAGATCATCTCTAACTTTTGCTTTCTATCTTCTTCCATTATTGTGTCTTTTTTTTAATCTTTCCAACCCATCTACATTTTTGCCATTTTACTAGGTACATTTGGAACCTGAAATGTTCTGCTTCACTGGGTGTTATAGGAGCTGAATTTATCCCTGGCTGCAATTGTCTTGTATATGACTATACATGTTTGAGAATGCTTTACCATGACTTGTGAAATTTTGCTGTACCCCTGCGTGGGTGTATTTATTGTTATCCTGCTTCTATTTTTTAAAAAAAGAAATGAAAATATTGTAAAGAAAAGGGGTTCTAAAGGCTGAAGGTGTATTACTTTAATGTATTCTGTAGCTTAAGGAAAAAAAAACTCTTCTGAATACAGCCCCCCTTATACTTATCTAAGCCTAATCTCGATCCAGTGTTGTGTAGCTCTCTCTTTCCTTATAGGCTCAGAGACAGCAGCGGGGAGCATATGGCTCCAGAAGGGGGGTTGGGATAGACCCACACTCTGTGTCTCTATGGACACACAGAGACGGCTTGGGAGCGAGCAAGCCTGAGTGCCCCCATAACAATTGGCTTACAATGGTGGGCACTCGGCGGGGGGGGGGGTTTGGATTCAGGAGCACCAAAAGGGGGCTCTGCAAAACCATTGCACAGGGCAGGAACGTATAGCATGTTTGTTATTTTAAAAAGATAAAATTTGTAAGTTTACAAATCACTTTAATGTCAACTTAAAAATGGTTTCTTTCAAAGCCTGCATGCATGTGGGATGCTTAATCCGTCAGCATCAAATCCCAGCATCTTTGAGTGTGCAGGAAGCACGGAAGCATCCAAAGTCTATGATAAGCTGAAATAAGCGGCAGCTGGACACTGTACCAAATGGTACTTGTGTTTAAGGCCGTATATCCATTCAGGGACATACACCCCCAATGCAGAATTTATGACCACCTATGTGTATCTAGTCTCAATGTATTATTTTGACGTGTACCTGTGTTAATGTAAAATTTTACCTAAAAGTATTTTTAGTCAGTCAGTAAAGGAAGGAATCCAAAGGCTCTCTTTGCAAACTCTGGAAGTATAAAAGAAGCCATGATGATTTGATCCGATTTAAGGGGACATTTCTGATCTTACCTATAGGGCTCTTTATGTTACATGTCGCAGTAGAGTGTGCAAAGATGATTTGCCTGATGTTTCTTTCCAGCATAACGCGTTATACAAGGATAAAGAATTCATGTCAACTATACCCAAAGCTAAAGCACCATCAACACATAATTGCGAATAAAGCCTAAAGCAGTGACATATGCCACAGAATTCCCCTACTTTCTTTCCAAAAATGGCTGTAGCAAGTTTTCTCTCTCAGAATTCCTGCATAGACAGGAACTTTGTCAGTCCCCATACCAGCACACAACTCATCTAGATTGCTCTTCTGACTTTCCAGACACAATATGTAGTTTAATTGCTGAAAATATTGATTGTTATAGGTCTTTCAAACCCAAAAAAAAAAAAAAAGTAAATTTTCACCACCAGTACAAAATTCTGTGCCTAGGCAGTATACTGGAAAAAAAAAATCAGTACAATGTGTGTGGAAAACAGACACTGTAGCTTCTGACATGCTCCCATGCAGAGTTTGGCCTGTTACTCTAATCAGCAAACAGCATGTGTAGTAAGTATGTGACTCAGCAGAATCATAACTGGACTTCTACAGGTTAAATGTTACTGGTTACACCAATACATTTAAAGTATATTACCAGTGGAAATTACTCAAAGGGTCCATGCACACTGGGCTTAAAAATAGCACTTCTACAGGAGTTTAGCTTTTGCCTGTAGAAGCAGCTTAATGTTATCCTATGGGTTCATACACATTAGGAATTTTAAAGGCATAGTTTAAGCTCAGCGGTTTGAGGCAGGTTTGTGTTTTTTTGAGAGTTTTCAGGCAGAAAAAAATGCTAAACACTCTTAAAACACCTGTACAAAAAGCGCTCTATAGGAGCGTTTTTTTTACGTAAGAAAAACAGCATTTTTTTTTTTAAGCCCAGTGTGCATGGACCCAAAGCTGCTATGTTGTTAATGACTGCCAATAAAATAGGATTTTTGTATTCACCATAACTTTCTAATCTTTATCTTGAGTCCACGGAGGACACAAAAGCCTTAAAGTAATTGTAAACCTTATTTTTTTATTTTTTTAATAACCGACATGTCATTCTTACCTGCTCTGTGTAATTGTTTTGCACAGAGCAGCCCCAAACCTCCTCTTCTCGGGTCCCCTGCCAGTGCTTCTGGCTCTTTCCCTCTGCCTAGGGCCCCCATAGCAAGCTGCTTGCTATGGAGGCACTTGTGCGTGTTTGTTGTGTACAGTGAGGTCTAGACACAGTACTTCAAAGAGGTTGAGGATGACCACACTAGAATGCTACAGTCAAAGAGACAATCTCCAGCTGAAATGTAGAGTAGTTTCAATTACAAAAAAGCGTACAAGCAACAAAAGAGAACTGTCCTCCAAAAGACATTAACAAAAAACTTAGGCATGCTGATAGTAATAGGGGTTATCCTGAACTGGCCTACAGTTTTGTTTTTTCAGTGTGCAGGTCTTTTGTAGGAAGCAGTACAACCAAAAGGTTTAAGATGTGTATCCCTCAATAGTAACAGTACAGCTGTCCGATTTTTATGTAACAAAGATAGCTATATCAAGACAAAAAAAAACAAAAAAAACAAAACACAGATCATAAAACCTAAAGCACTGAAAGCTGGCAATGTTATACAATAAAAGATTTTTGCAAAAGACAATACACTCACATCACTTGTGTTGACAAACCAAGTTATCTCTCCATATGAAGCTAGTTCTCCATTCACGTAACAGCGCAATTCACTGTTCTTCCATCGATTATAAATGTGGACAATTGATACCATGTACCACTATAAAAAAAAGACACAAAAAAACAAACAAAAACACATACATTACAGTCAATTCTCAGTAAATCACATTAAAGATTCCCAACTTATGTGCCATTACATATAAAGGGTCCCTTAGCGCAAGCAAGGCGATGCTTGCTTTAGCCAAACTCAAATGCCCATTAACACAAGAAAGCAAGGATGACTTTCTGTGCACTAATTTTAACAAGTGAAAAAACTGCCCATGGGATTTGACAGCCATTTTGGGGTCTCTATGATCTAAAAAAAAAAAAAAAAAAAAAAAAAAAAAAAAAAAAAAGGAGCGTGTTGATGGATAAGTTCCCCATCATCCATCACTCCTAAGCTGGTCATATATACACAGTGCCTTGAAAAAGTATTCATACCCTTGGAAAAATGTCCACGTTTTCATGTTACAACCAAAAACAAATGTATTTTATTTGATAGACCAACACAAAGTGGCACATAATTGTGAAATGGAAGGAAAATGATAAATGGTTTTCAAACTTATTTACAAATACATTTCTGAAAAGTGTGGCATGCTTTTGTATTCAGCCCCTTTACTCTGATACCCCTAACTAAAAATCTAGTGGAACCAATTGCCTTCAGATGTTAATTAGTAACTAGAGTCCACCTGTGTGTAATTTAATCTCAGTATAAATACAGCTGTTCTCTGAAGCCCTCCAGAGGTTTGTTAGAGTACATTAGTAAACAAAACAGCATCATGAAGGCCAAGGAACACACCAGACTGGTCAGGGATAATGTTGTGGAAAAAAGTTTTTTTAAAGCAGGATTAGGTTATGAAAAAATATCAATCCATCATCCGAAAATGGAAAGAGTATGGCACAACTGCAAAGCTACCAAGACATGGCCGTCCACCTAAACTGACAGGCCGGGCAAGGAGAGCATTAATCAGAGAAGCAGCCAAGAGACCCATGGTAACTCTAGAGGAGCTGCAGAGATCCACAGCTCAGCCATGTGAGGGACAAAGCAAACATGTGGAAGAAGGTGCTCTGGTCATATGAGACCAAAACTGAACTTTTTGTCCTAAAAGAAAAAAACTGTGTGGCAGAAAAATGAACACTGCACATCACCCTGAACACACCATCCCCACCACAAAATACGGTGGTGGCATGTTGTGGGGATGCATTTTTTCAACAGGGACAAGGAAGCTAGTCAGAGTTATGGGAAGATGGATGGAGCCAAATACAGGGCAATAGTAGCAGAAAACCTGTGAGAATCCGAGAAAGACTTGAGACTGGAGCGGAGGTTCACCTTCCAGCAGAACAAGAACCCTAAACATACAGTCAAAACTACAATAGAATGTTTTAGATCAAAGCATATGCAGGCGTTAGAATGGCCCAGTCAAAGTCCAGACCTATATCCAGTTGAGAATCTGTGGCAAGACTTGAAAATTGCTGTTCACAGACACTCTCCATCCAATCTGATAAAGTGTGAGCTATTCTGCAAAGAAAGGGCAAAAATGTCACTCACTAGATGTGTAAAGCTGGTAGAGACCTACCCAAAAAGACTTGCAGCTGTAATTGCCGTGAAAATTGGTTCTACAAAGTATTGACTCAGGGGGGTTGAATACAAATACACGCCAAGGCACTGTAGTTCAGTTTTTTCATTCAGCCAGTAGGCTGTACAGAAAAAACTGAACCAATTGCCTCACCCACACATTTGATATGCATATAGGAATCCTCCCAGCTGTGTTAATGTATTCTGACAGCGGAGGAGTTAGCTGGACTCCTCCACTGTCAGAATAAACTGATCAATAGTCTGCAGCACTGGTCAGACTTAAGTTTTTCAACAAACTGGTGCATAAGAAGTCGATTGAAAGATTGATTTGACCAGTTAGATCTACAGTGAAGGAAATAAGTATTTAATCCTCTGCTGATTTTGAATGTTTGCCCACTCACAAAGAAATGATCAGTCTAAAAATCGAATGGTAGGTGTGTTATAACACAGAGACAGAAAAGCAACAAAAAATTCAAAAGAAATGCATGTCTAACAAATTATGCACTGACTTGCATGTTCATAAGGGAAATAAGTATTTGATCCCCTATCATTCAGCAGGATTTCTGGCTACAAGGTGTCTTTCATACAGGTAAACAAGCTGAGATTAGAAGCAGTCTCTTAAAGGGAATGCTGCTAATCTCATTTTGTTACCTGTATAAAAAAACACACCTGTCCACACAGGAGCAATCAAACAATCAGATTCCAAACTCTCCACCATGGCAAAGACCAAAGAGCTGTCCAAGGATGTCAGGGACAAGATTGAAGACCTACACAAGGCTGGACTGGGCTACTGAACTATCGCCCAAGCAGCTTGGTGAGAAGGTGACAACAGTTGGTGCAATCATTCGCAAATGAAGAAACACAAAACAGCTGTCAGTCTCCCTAGGTCTGGTGCACCATGCAAGATCTCACCTCGTGGAGTGTCAATGATCATGAGAACAGTGAGGAATCATCCCAGAACTACACGTGAGAATCTTATCAATGATCTCCAGGCAGCTGGGACCACAGTCACCAAGAAAACAATTGGTAACACACTACACCAGGGGTCTGCAACCTTTAAGACATAAAGAGCCACTTGGACCCGTTTCCGAGAGGGAAAAAAAGACTGGGAGCCGCAAAACCATTGCAACATTTAAAACAAATCCGACACTGCATATTGCAAAAAACGCTCTGGTCATGAAGGGGGTTTAAGGGCCCAGTAAGCAAAGGGTTAATCAGGGCCACAGTGTATCGTCATAATCACAATCATAGCCTTAGGTCAGTGGTGGGCAACCTTTTTTTTCGACTGAGCTAAATCTCGCCAAAACCACGATTGAAATTTATTTTGAGAGAAACATTTTTAAAACTGAAAATACATCCCCCATATAGTAATTCATCCCCCATAGTAATTCATCCCCCCTATAGTAATTCATCCCCCATAGTAATTCCCCCCATAGTAATTCATCCCCCCTATAGTAATTCATCCCCCCTATAGTAATTCATCCCCCCTATAGTAATTAATCCCCCATAGTAATTCATCCCCCATAGTAATTCATTCCCCATATTGTGTGAATTCACTTACCTTTGCTCCGCGCGTTCCTCTCGCTGGGTTCCCGCGCCGTTCTGGTCTTCAGGGCGGACTGTGAGAGGAGAGGAGTTCGTCACGCTGCCCCGCCTACATCCGGGCTGCCCCGCCTACATCCTGACAGCCAATGTTTGCCAGCGGGCGCCCGGCACACAGAAGATCTGCATTAAAAGAGCCGCGGCTTGCCGACCCTATTGCCTGTCACCTGGTGGGCAGTGTGCTCCGGAGCCGCAGGAAAGGTGAAAAAGAGCCGCATGCGGCTCCGGAGCCGCAGGTTGCCAACACCCGCACTACACCAACAAGGATTGAAATCCTGCAGTGCCCGCAAGGTCCCTCTGCTCAAGAAAGCACATGTCCAGGCCCGTCTGAAGTTTGCCACTGAACATCTGAATGATGCAGAGGATGACTGGTTGAAAGTGTAGACCACTGGTCTGGTAGACTAAAATCAAGCTATTTGGCATCAACTCAACATGTTTGGAGGAGGAGGAATGCTGCGTATGACCCCCAAGAACACCATCCCAACTGTCAAACATGGTGGTGGTGATAACATTCTGCTTTGGGGGTGTTTTTCTGCTAAGGGGACAGGACAACTGCACCGCATCAAAAGGGACGATGGACGAGGCAATGTACCATCAAATCTTGGGTGAGAGCCTTCTTCCCTCAGCCAGGGCACTGAAAATAAGTCGTGGATGGGTGTTCCAGCATGACAATGACCCAAAACACAAGGCAAGGCAACAAAAGAGTGGTTCAAAAAGAAGCATATTAAAGGTCCTGGAGTGGCCTAGCCCAGGCCTTGAAATTTCCACTCGCCTGCTCGCCAATGGCGAGTTGAAATTATGGTGGGGGTGAGTGTGTCCCCCATGGCCGTCTTGCTGAGCAGGCTTGGAGCTCAGGTCGGATCCGTCATTGGCACTGGGAGCTGAGCGCAGTGAAAGCAAAGAAAGGAGTGTGTGCTGTGCTCTCTGCCTCCCCCTAGAGTGCAGTGCCCGGCTCTGTGAGTGAACAATGAAGTACTGCAACCTTTTATAGGGCTGTGCCTACCTAATTTCAGCTCACTCTGGTCACATGATCCTCTATGTCAGCCAGTGGTGGCTTCAGGGGAGAGAAGAGAGCACTTAACAGCGTGCGTGCATGTGTGCGTGTTTGTGTGTGTCTGTACATGTGTGTATCTGTACATGTGTCTGTGTGTATGTACATGTGTCTGTGCGTGTGTATTTCTGTGTATGTACATGTATCTGTGTGTATGCATGTCTGTACATGCCTCTGTGTATGTATACATGTGTCTGTATGTGTGTGTACACGTCTCTATGAGTGTGTACATGTTTCTGTGTGTGTATGTGTACAGGTGTCTGTGTGTGTTTGTTGGTGGCGAGTAACCCTTAAGGCCTGGCAAGTAACTCAGGACTTGAAATTTTAAGCCCTGGCCTAGCCAGTCTCCAGACCTTAATCCAATTGAAAATATGTGGGGGGAGCTGAAAAGTCGAGTTGCCAAATGTCAGCCACCAAACATTAATGACTTGGAGAGGATCTGCCAAGAGGAGTGGGCCAAAATCCCTCCTGAGATGTGTGAAAACCTGGTGGCCAACTACAGGAATCATCTGACCTCTGCTTGCCAACAAGGGATTTGCCACCAAGTACTAAGTCATGTTTTGTGAAGGGGATCAAATACTTATTTCCCTCTTGAACAAGAAAATCAGTGCATAATTTGTTAGAAATGCATTTCTTTTGAATTTTTTGTTGCGATTCTGTCTCTCAGTATTACAATACACCTACCATTCAATTTTTATACTGATCATTTCTTTGTGAGTGGACAAACATTCAAAATCAGCAGGGGATCAAATACTTATTTCCTTCACTGCATGTATGGCCGGCTTTAGTGAGGGCTTTATCTGTCTATGGCTACCCAAAAGTCAGACAAAAACGCCTAAAAGTGGAACTGCACTGCATCTGAGCACCACGACTAAAAATGCTATTTCATTAATTTTTAATATTCAAAGCAAACTCCCCCATCCATCTATGTATCCGTTCTTTATTTAGCGAAGAAATCATTTTGAAAAACACCCCCTGGCATTTCTGGCAGTGGCCATCTTGAGTAAGGGCAGATGATTCATGTATCATAGCTTCCTGCAATCCATCTGCCATTAGCTCAGCCATAGGCTAAAGCGGAGTTCCACCAAAAAGTGGCACCTTTTAGGGGGGGAGAGCAGGTACCTGGTTTTGACAGGTACCCACTCACATTTCCGGCTCAGTTCGCCGCGGTGGACTAAGCTGAAGATCCAGCTGTTTTACACCGCAGCCCTCTGGGATACTTCACAGGTCCCAGAGGACTGCTGCCCATTCACAAAGCGCAGCGTACTTCACCCATGTGCAGTAGGACACCAGCTGTGAAGCCTCACTGTTTCCCTTAGTCAAGATGCCAGCACCCAGCAGCTGACTGAAAAATCAGCTTGGGGTGAGGACACAATTGGATCCCTGGACAGGTAAGTGCCCTAATAAAAGTCAGCAGCTACAGTATTTGTAGCTTCTGACTTAATTTTTTTTTGGTTTGGTTTTTTTGGTGGGGCCAGAACTCTGCAAATATGATATACATTCCTATCTATTTACTTATACTAGCAGCATAATGATTAAGCTCTGCTTTAAATCCTGAAAACCATATAGTAAGGGTGTACCCAAACAATGCATTCATTTTCTAGCTAAGCAGGTCTGCCCTCACACTAAAGCCGGCCATGCATTATACAGTTTTCTCTCTTTAGATTTTCCTTCAACTATGTGTTACAAGGGCTTGCCTGATAGAATACAAATTGAAAGTGTTTTAGGTTTGACCTCATATTTTATGGTTCTTGGTAAATCTAAAGGAAAATTGCACAATAAGACTGTATAACGCATGGCCAGCTTAAAAGTTATTTGTAATTGAAAGATTGTACAATTAAGTTGTAACCCTAGTAAAAATAAAAAGAGAGAAATTGGAATGGACAAAAATAGACCATCAAGAAAACGCTTTACACACCTTCTGTGGCTTGAAGTCATATTTCACACAATGCTGGAAGCCTTTTCCTTTTGACTTAATCGATGTGATGATAAGGCAGCCACCAACAAAATGGGCAGAATAACCAAGCCCTTTGTTTGTTCTGAAACTGCAAAAGTGGATGTTAATGTAAGTATGCAGCAAATAATCTCAAGGCCTCATAAAATTCTAACAAAAAGAAAATTAAATATGAAACATGGCAGCAATGAAATCACAAAGAACATTAAAAAAAAAAAAAAAAAAAAAAAAAAAAGGGATTAATCACACTGTAATTGTATACACCCAAACACAATCTAATGCTTGTTAGACTTGGGAAGTCTAGGCTATTCCTCAGTAGGCAAAGCAGTGCTTTGGTAGGTCCTGATATAAAATACTGCTAAGGATCTTTACAGGCCACAGATGAAAAGCCAGGTCTTCAAGCAAAGAATATGCTAAAAGCAGCAGAGATCCACTGAGAATTTTTCACACAGTAGATCGACAATCATAAATGATCTCAACTTATCCACCAGCACATCTTGCTCAGCATGAATGATCCTATGAAATACACTTGGAATAAGGGGAGAGGTAACCTTTCCCAGTTTCTATCAGGCTCAGGAGAGAACTCTTTAGCAGGGGCATCACCATGGTGGGAAATGTTTGATTCAAGGTCTCAGTACCTTATACTGACAAATATCCTATACAGGAATATATGTTTTTGGAACCTACAGTATATACTACTACGTAGCCTTTATAGACAATGGTTTGTGTGTTTAACCATTTGAATACCGGGCAATTTTACACCTTCCTGCCCAGGCCATTTTTCAGGTTTCAGCGCTCTCACACTTTGAATGACAATTGCGCGGTCATACAACATTGTACCCAAACTAAAATTTTATAATTTTCTTCACACAACTAGAGCTTTCTTTTGGTGGTATTTAATCACCACCGGGGTTTTTATTTTTTGCTAAATTATCAAAAAAAAGACCGAAAATGTTGAAAAAAAAACAAGTTTTTCTTTGTTTCTGTTATAAATGTTTGCAAATAAATAATTGTTCTTCATAAAATTTAGGCCAAGATGTATTCTACTACATGTCTTTGGTGAAAATAACCCAAATTAGGATGTATTTTTTAATTTGTAGGAAAGTTATAGAGTTCACAAACTATGGTATAGATCTGAATATTGATCAATCCTGAAGTACTGACAGCCAATCTAATTTCTTGAGGTCCAAGAATGTCAGAACAGTACAGATATCCCCCAAATGACCCCTTTTTGCAAAGTAGACAGTCCGACGTACTTCATAAGAGGCATGGCATGTTTTTTGAAGTTGCATTTTTTTTTGTCATAATTTTTCGGAAAATGAAAAAAAATGCAAAAAATTATTTTCACAATTTTTTTTTTTTTTTTTTTTTTTTTACATACTGTCACCAGTGCAGTACAGCGTCTTCATATAACTGGCATGGCGGTGATGAGGGACACTGACTGGTGACAGTATGAAAAAAAAAAGTGTTATTTTTTTTATTATTTTTAATTTTTTATTACATTTTTTTTATTTTTTTTTTTTAAGATTTTTTTTTCATATTTCATTATGTCCAAAGTAGTACAATGTTACCATAGTAATATTGTACTACTTTGGGGAAGTGATTATATTTAAATTTTTTTTTTATTTTTACACAATTTGCTTATAGCAAAGAATTACTTTGCTATAAGCAAGCATTTACCTGAATGACTGATTCATTCAGGGTTTTTTTTTTTTTGTGCTTAGCTGTGATTTGGCCACAGCTAATCACATGACATGTGCATGTGATTAGCTGTGACCATTCACAGCTAGACAGTAGTATACAATGGATGGCATGAATGAAGCCATCCATTGTATACAACTGTCATGTGACCTGCTGTGATTGGTCACAGCAGGTCACATGGTACCGGCAACAGGACCGATACTCAGATCAGTCATTGGCCGTGTCCGTGGTACACGGTCGGTGACAGATCGCGCCGCTGCGCGGCTCTGCAAGCGCAAAAAGTGCACGTGCGGGAGGACGCCATTTGGCGTCCAACCCGGAAATGCAGTACATTTTGCCCGCCTCCTTTTGGCTATTGGCCGGGCGTGTATTGGTTAAACAACCAAGATTGGAGTGAGAAGAATAAAAGACTGCTAACATTAAGTTAGCTTTTTTACATGGTGAATATTTTAAGATCACGACCCCTTCAATTTTTTTTTTTATTACTGCTGTTGTCATCTAATGTATTCTAATTGCTCTGCTCCCACAGGGGGTTGGTTTGGTGAGGTGACTGTCTCTAATCCTTGGTCCATCGAGTCCTACCAACATATTATCCCTCAAAGACACCTGATGAAGTGGGTCTAGTGATCCATGAAACACTATGTGTACTCGCCACAACCACACCATATGACCAGCATACAGAACAAGAACGATACTATCAAACAAAATTGTCTGGTTAAAGAGAATTATGTATGGTTTAATTTGAATAAAATGAACAGAAGATTAGAAGGTGTATGAGACATTGAGAATGAGTATCTATCTATTTCAGGTAAAAAGTATTGCACAAGTCGTATTTCTAAGTAAATATATTTCTAAAGGTGCTATTGACATGAAATTTTCACCACATGATCGTATCAACCCATACACGCCATACATGCAAAGAAACCAAACCAAGCTCAGGAATTAAATTGATTGTAAGCCTCAGACATGAAATATGAACAAAGCATATCCCTCTATAGTGTGTACTTGTCTCAGTCCAGGACACCAAGTGTTATTTTCTGTCTGCTGCCTCCTTCTATCAGCATGAGTCCTTTCTGATGAGTTTTCCTGACATCAAGAGAAAAATGGTGACAGGGGAGTGAGCTCTAGCTGATTGACAGCCTCAGCTCTGTTCCTGTGTGCTGTGTGAAGGGGGGGGGAATGTCTCTTCCCTCCTATCTGCTCTCAAAGCTCTCCTAACGAATAAACCATAAGCTCCCTGCTCCCCTGCTGAGAGATCCTGTGTAAATTCTGCACTTTGAATGGATTTAGGGGAAAGATTGCTGTAGCTAAACAGGTACAACATATTTAGGAGGATTTGTTTCATCTCTATGTATCATCTGAAGCCATTCTCTTTACTGGGAAAATGGAGGGTTTACAACCACTTTAAGTTATGTGTAATAAAATGGAATGACACAGGGAAAAAGTGTTGAACACATGAAAACGGGAGGTGCATAAAGGCATGGAAAGCCAAGACACCAGCTGAAATCTATCAATCAGTAATTAGAAAGCAATCCTGCCCCTTTGTCAGTGCAAATTAATATCAGCTGGTTCAGTCTCAACTGATGGCCTATAAAAAAAGGTGTCTCAGTACCACAAGAAAACATCTCACGATGGGTAAAATCAAAGAGCTCTCTCAAGACCTTTGCAACCCTACTGTTGCAAAACATACTGATGGCATTGGTTACATAAGGATTTCTAAACTTTTGAATAGTCTAGTGAGCACTGTTGGGGCCATAATCTGGAAGTGTAAAGAACATCCTTTCACCAATAGCCGGCTACGACCAGGTGCTCCTCGCAAGATTTGTGACAGGGGAGTGAAAAGAATTATCAGAAGTTGTCAAGGACCACTTGTGGAAAGCTTCAGAAAGACCTGGAACTAGCGGGTACAATTGTTTCAAAGAAAATAATAAGTAATGCACTCAACCGCCATGGTATGCATGCATGCTCACCACGCAATACTCTACTGCTGAAGAAAAAGCATGTTGAAGCTTGTTTACAGTTTGCTGCACAACATTTGCACAAGCCTGTGAAATACTGGGAGATAATAGTGCGGTCAGATGAGACCAAGATTAAACACTTTGGATTGCAAAGTGAAACAAAAAAGAGCGCACTAACCTTGCGCATTACCTCAGTAAACCATAATTTTATTAAATTCAGAATGATACTCACAAACAACGAAGTAAATCAAGCATGCAAGTCCTCAAAGTCACATCGTAGGGGTAGACACTCAGTGTTTGGGAGTATCATTCTGAATTTAATAAAATTATGGTTTACTGAGGTAATGCGCAAGGTTGGTGCGCTCTCTTTTTTGTTTCACTTTGCAGTACTGGTTGGGCTTCCCCAGCCTTGTTTAGAGCTGCACAACCCTATATGCATTGGTGGTCGAACTTCTATGGAAAGAACTAAAGATCAGAATTTATAGAAGATGCCCACGGAACCTTCAAGATTTGAAGACTGTTCATGTGGAAGAATGGGCCAAAATCACACCTGAACAATGCACACAACTAGTTTCCCTATACAGGAGGCGTCTGAAGCGGTCATTGCCACAAAGGCTTTTGTACGAAGTATTAAATAAAAATTTCAGTTAGAGTGTTCAATACTTTTCCCTGTGTCATCCCATTTTATTACACACACACACAGTCCCAGAATTAGAGGATTATTTGAAGAGATAAGGACAAAAGGCAAAGTTGCTCTTCCTCCAAATCATGTGCAAATTCCCTCAAAAGTATGCCCTTGTAAGACTTACCAATACAAATAGGGCTTTGCTGTATCAACGTTTATATTGTTTATTGGATCCATTCTTAGCCATGTGTGAAAAGTGAAGCCATTCTGGTACGGCCATCTAGCAATTGGAGGTAAGGCAATGGCCTAAAACATAGAAAATGCAAATGTAGATTAGTTTACAATCTATTTTACAACAAATTACCTGCAAGAACAACAAAAAAAATACACTTTCAGGCTATTGCAATGTTTAAAAGTATAAGTTTACCTTTATAAAAAAAAGGTCCTACACGGTCGTGTATCTGCCTGCTTGTACCTCATATACAGGTAGGTAGTTACTCAATGACAGGAAGACTTTATTAACTACCTAGAGTTCTCATTAGTGCCCTGATAGTTCGTTGAGAACAAGCTGTCAGCTGCAAAGGTTGTCAGTACTTGTAGTTCATACATTCACAGAACTCTGTGCTCCACACAGCCGCATTCTTTTCAAATTGTGACAGCAGATGCGGGGAGAAGTTCCCTGGCCCGCAGTCACATTTAGAAGGGGGATTGGGGGTAGGCTGCAACAGTTGAAACATGTTACATGTTCCACCCTAAAAACAGGTGGAACATGTAACATGCTC